ACACACACACCTCTCCGCATCTAGCACGCGCACACACACACCTCTCCGCATCTAGGGCACGCACACACACACACACCTCTCCGCATCTAGCGCGCACACACACCTCTCTGCATCTAGCGCGTGCGTGCACACACACCTCTGCATCTAGCGCACACACACACCTCTCTGCATCTAGTGCGCGCACAGACACACACACCTCTCTGCATCTAGGGCACACACACACACCTCTCTGCATCTAGCGCGCGTGCACACACACACACCTCTCCGCATCTAGCGCACGCACACACACACCTCTCCGCCTCTAGGGCGCGCACACACACACACACCTCTCTGCATCTAGCGCACACACATACACACCTCTCTGCATCTAGCACGCACACACACACACCTCTGCATCTAGCGCACGCACACACACACTTCTCTGCATCTAGCGCGCGCGTGCACACACACACACACACATACACACCCTCTCTGCATCTAGCCTGGGGGCTGAGTAGGACAACTGGGTCTTCTTGCTAGTGTAGTGCTAGAGCATTCGCATGTCATGTGTGTGTCCCAGAGGGTGCTCAGCGCCGTGAGGGTGACCTTGTCCGTGACTGTGTGCTGTTGGATGTGACCGTCCGTGCTATGTCCTCTAACACAGGAACTACCGTGCTGCTCACTGACTGGACTGCGGTTTGTGGGGGAGGTATGTTCTCTTCTGGCCCATGACTGCCTCTAGTTCAAGGGACCTGAGATCCTTTGTGGGGAACAGAGGGTGCCTCTTATCCCTCCCTGAGATAGGAAGTCAGGATCTGTGTTTGGGGGCAGGTGGGCGTATTCGGCACCGCTGCTACCATCCCCACCCCCATGCTTGCACTCGGCTCCTGGTTCCTGAGACCCTTCACCTCAATTGTCTCTGTGATGGAAACCCAAAAGAAAGACGGGGCAGGTATTCTCACCCACTTCAGAGATGGGGCAACTGAGACATGGCAAAGGGAGAAGCCATAGTGGCCAGGTCCCTGTGGAGAGACAGTGGGAGGACAGGGCTGGAGACCGGGTTCTTGGCTGTCCACCTCCCTGAGAAGCAGCGACAAGAGCTGAGTGGGCTCAGGGGCGCCTGGGTGGCTCAGTTGGTTAAGCAACTGCCTTCGGCTCAGGTCATGATCCTGGAGTCC